TATCATATAGTGGGAAATTTTCGTGGCCCAAAATTTTCGTGAATTTCGCATTTTTTAAAAAATTTATGAAAATTAAATCTGTGACCAAAAAGTACAAAACCACAAAAATTAAAGCCACGAAATCGATTTTTAGACAGATTCACAAAAATTTTGAGCCACAAAATTTTCTGCTATACGATAATAATTATTATTATTCTTACTTCATTCGTTGTATCATACACCACAATGGCTGCTACTGCATTTCTGTAATACATTGGTAATAGCGACCGATACTAATTAGAAGAGATAAAAAAGAATAAAAATAATAAATAAAATATATTTATTGTGTGACTTACTCTCTCCTGTCCAGCTGTATCCCATACTTGAAACTTGATTGTGCTGTTGTCAACCGTTAGACTTTTTGACATAAAAGAAGCTCTGGAATACAAATACATGTAACGTCTCATAAATACAAGTACAGTACATGTAACATCTGATAAAATACATTAAACACTCAAGAAATAACAAACTACATAAACAGATTATACTACAGGACATGAGAGAGGAGGAGGAGGAGGAGGGAGGAGAGGTGGTGGTGGTCGTACCATGTTCTTGGTTAGGTATTTCTGTGATATGCTATCAGCAATGTTCCACTGGTCATCAATAGTAGTGTCAGTGGATTGGATAGAAGAGACATCAGTAGGACACCTGGACACAAGAGAGGAGAGGAAAAAAGTAAGTGAAGCTTGTAAACAAGAGTCAACTCAAAATTCCTGATTTACATTTTTTCATGACATGTACAATGTATATGACAGGCTTTTAAGAAACTTTAAAATTTCTTTAAAAATCCAATTTACCATGTACTATAGTACAGGGCTTTGATCTGATTTTTGAGTAACTTTTAAAATTCGTAAAAATGAGAATCAGTTCAAACTTTCAAGGCAACATAAGTACACATACATGTACATGTATATGCACACACATGGATCAGGAAATGCTGTTAAGCATGTACTGCACTTACTGTATTTTAGGAAACAGCAGTAATGAAGTATCAGTGTATTTCCTGGCAGTCAATGATGAAGTGGGTGGAGTCAAAGGAGGAGGAGGAGGAGAAGCATCCAAAAAACTTTGTATACGTCTCTATAAAAACAACAAAACAATAACAACAGTGTTACATGTACATGTATTAATAATAATAAATAATAATAAATTATTTACATGTACATGCACATAGCATGTTCTTACTTTTGCTTCATCCACAAAAGCATCACATTCGCTGTCGTCATAGCAACTAGAAGCCACGCCCCAAACCCATCACTGAAGCTACCAAAACTCATCGTTCTATCAGCTCCTGTTGCCATGGAAACAGT